CGTTATAAAGTAACATATACAAACTTTAAGTGCTTCCACATGATAAATATTGATCATAACATTTTATTACACAATGTAAAAATTCCCGGCAAAACATCAAAATAACACCACTGCCATTGCTACCATACTTAGCATTTTTACCGTGCAAAAAGTGTAAATGTTTGCGTTTGGCATCAATGAAATGCTCTGTATAAATACCAAAAGAGAAAATTTAGCATCTCTCCCTTACAAATGCAGGAAGAAGTAGACTGTGTGCTTATATTTAATAAATTCTAATTTATTTTAAAAAATTTAATAAAGTCGACTGTATTTACGTTGAGATTATGATAAGTAATTGTTGAAAGAACGATGATAAGATTCCCTGCAAAAATATTGTGGTTCGGTATTAATTCGGAGCAACCGATAAATTTTTAATTTAATCCTGTAGAGGTGGCATAAAGCGTACCCCGGCGCCTCCGCCACATGTCGCGATTTAATTCCGGGCTTCAATTAGCGTCCTCCGGTTATTTATTCCCCTACATCGCCAACATATCGCGATTTTCTGTCGTTCCAGACATTTCAGGTTCTGAATTACAAATCCTTCTAATTGCGGCGGTCGTTTGTGTTCAAAGCCTAATTGACTTGTGATGGTTTCATCGAAATAAAGCACGCCATCAAGCACGTTCATGAAAACAAATAAACCTGTTTTTGTCATCTGCAAGTAATAATTCATAAGGTTATATACACTGTAATTTTAGGCAAATGTTCTCGAATGAAATGCTTTTTCACGATATTTATGTTATTTTGATTTTGCCTCGAAGCGACTCTTTTTCCCTTTGGCTAATCAATAATTTTATAAATATATTTTTAGAAATGTTTAATTTGAACCGCTCAGTTGTTGCCTTTTTTTCCTTCCAGTGAGGGCTAAGAGAAGTATTGTAAGAGGGCCTTTTTGACAGGCGTTTCTTAGAATATAATCGGAGATGGAGATTGCCTAAGAGAAAATTGTTCTAAAATTGAGGCCCGCGAGTAAATAAATACAGTGATATATATAACAAGATTACATTTTTAGCCAACTTAACGTACTTTGGTTTTGCGTTCATTAAAAATATTTTGTAAACTTGCACAGTTAATTAAATATATAGATGATGATAAAGTTGTTTCATCTAGATCTAACGATCAAAACTTTTTGGAATCTTCTTCAATCGAGGTGTTACCCATATAACATCGGAAATTCAAAATTACAAACATTGTCGAGGCTAAATTAACTAAAGTTAATATTATGTAGATACTGTCAACGTGGTTGGCGAAACACGCCCCTAAATCGAGCACAAAATATTGAGGACACAAACATTGTTTATTTCTCCATTCTGGAGAGGTAAAAACATTTGCGAAATAAGCAGGTCTTTATGTAGGAGGATTTATTCCACAACTGCAAAATTCTCTCCAAATGGCAAATTTAAAAAAGAAGAGAAAGAGAAATCTAGATGCAGAAAGACAAGTTACTACGATGGTGTGGCAGCAAATTTAAACTATGGCAGGTCAGTCCTCAGCAAACGAGCTACAACGAGAGCGGAATTTAAGTTCCTCGTCGTAGTCTGTCACCCTTCATGGATGATTCTACTCTATAAATGGGTATAACACACACCCCACATTTCTATGCCCAAAAAACCTGCCGCATATTATACTCTTTACCCAGTCTTCGCAAACTAGCCAGCTATTAAACCAAGCTGCGGGTTTCACGCCGACGCTGGTCTCCCCATTAAGTCTCAATTTCAATATCCATTTGGGCAATGACAAAACCGCAAATTTGAACTAGGAACCATGTATTTCGTTCTCACCACTCGATCTTATGTCCCTTTTTTTTCAATGAAGTTTAAATTCTATCTCTCTCGAATTGATAACGATGACTGATGGATGAGTATTAAAATTACTTAAATTAATTAAGCCACCTTCAAAAATTTCTAACAACAAAAAAGTTAGACGATGTTAAATCATGTGTTATTTCAAGTCATTAATTATATTGAAATCGCATTTACAGACTACCTAGTGTACTGAAATCCCCACAGCACATGCAAAAAAACACACTCAATATGACGAAAATCACAATCAGCGGGCCTCGGAAACGCTACGCCCTAGAACAGTGCTGTCGAGAATAAATGTTCAATTCAAGCCGCAAAATATTAAGATTAAACCTTCAAAAAGATAATAATAATTAGACCTGAAACGAACTATTAAACCTGTAATAAAATATTAGAACCTTCCCATTTTCGAGTCCACAAGGATATGAACTTAACCACAACTTTTCAAGGTTCTTTTTCTCAAAAGTGGCTGACGTTTAGATCATTTTAAATGCCATAAACGAACTGTTAGCAATCTCGAGTATGAAATTAAGGAGTGTGCTATAATGTAATAAGTACCTAAGTAAAAACAGAAACCTTTGTTATAACTTGATAAACAAAAAAGCGAAGCCTCAATAAGTGAATTTCCTAACACGTGGTTTATACGAATAGTTTCATGTTCACTTCACTTACCAACCCCTCACCAACTACCAACTTAAAGATTGACATTCACTAATTCCCTAGACGATCTACCACTCTAGTTAAAGTTGCACATAGTTGTCTATGTGTAATGAGTTTCTTAATTTATTTTTCAAATTTTGGCTTTGTTGTGTTTTTTGGAGCAAAATTTTGATTCAAACTGGGACACCACACTATATTAAAATCAATAAAATGTAAGCAATTCCAAAAACAGTTTTTAGTGTTAACTTTTTTGATGAAAACCACAGATCTAAGCTAATGGAGACCTTGTGATAGTATTAATTTGGGAAAGGCTAATTTGAAGTTCGTGTTTTACTACTTTCATTTGCGCCTGTCTGTCAGCTGTCATACATTTGTTGACGTTTTTCTTTTCGATTGACTGCGGAAAATGTCTCAAAAAAAATATGTATGGGCCGGCTAATGTTACTGATAATATTAAATACGTCTTTTCTAATTTTCCCTAAATACTGAAGCAATTATATAGTGGGGCATCTAACCCACTTTGACCTCAGTTGACCTGTCTCCAAGAAACCTAACTGTGTTCGGTCGACCCACCCGGCCTAGAATCCTCATGCTGGTTCTGGGCCACTTCGACTTCAGCAGAACCCGCACTGCATTGAGTTGAATTTCCGGTACAGAATTTTAATGCATGAACTAGAATGATCCAATTAAAAATGATAATTTTGAGGTTGTAACGAAGCAAATTTTAAGGGTACCAGGGCAGCTTAATGCGTGACAACCGCACCAATGCGACACCGGTAACCGGGCAGGGTCTTTGACCTATGAGTAGAAAAGCTACGTGAAGAAGACAGAGAGTTGAGAAGAGCGAGCTGTTTCATCTCAAAAAGGCTATTACCACTAAGTACCCTGCCGACCCGTTACCCCAGGATCCGAAGCAACCCCATGCAGTGAAGGGGCGCTGCCAGGGAGGTTAAAAATGCACTTGACCGGATTATATATTTTTTTCTTGACGGCTGTTTTATCGGATTATTGCTTATCGTAACCGTTATACCCCGGTAAATAAAAACCGTATATTTTTAAATCTTACCTGCTGCCTTGTTGATTTTTATCGCAACTGCTCACGAGACTCTGGAGAACCGTTTCTTTGGTTCAGAGTACCCCAGTTGCTCCCTCTCCGCAGAAGGAAGCTCGCGCCCGAGCAACCCCTCGTTGAAAGCGTTACCTTCGTGGCGTGAAAGCGACCTCATCGCCAAAACCGGCCAGTTGTGTCTCAGCGGCAGTAATCAGTCCAAGGCGCGGCACTGACGTAAGCCGCAACCACCCCACAAGATTAGGCGAAATGCGGGGTCAATAGAGGTCAAAGGGGGATAGAAGCCCCACTACATAACTACTTTCTGAGGTCAAAAGAATGATGATAGAAATATGAGGTCATAAGGTTTCGAAAAACTAATCATTACTTATCATTTGGGACTTGTATTTTACTTTTTAAATCAAACTGTGAGTTCAGTTGACAGCTATATATTTTCTATTTTTCTGCGAAAATCGTACGCTTTTCGTTTTAATAGACAATACTTTTAGTAACGGTTACAAGATAGATGGGGGCACTTGGTATATTTATGAAATGAAAACGAAATCTTTGGTGCGCTTGTATTTGACAAGAGTGTGCGTCCTTCGTAAGTATTCTAAATACGGCGCGCGATTTAACAGTAAAATAATTTCAAAAATGCCTTATATTGGCAATCCCTTCCAAAAATTTTGAGTGTTAGTATTTGACAGGTGATAAAATATTGAGACGGTACTGGCAAATTCATTTATCAAAAATAGCTCAAAAAAAATGTAACCCTGTAATGTGTCCCCAAAAAACACAAAAACATTGGTGTAAAGTTATTTAGACACAACTTCCCTCGTCCCTTATATACAATCGAACAAATGCAATTTTCTCGAAAAATTATAAAACTTGCCTTGGCAAAACAACCTTTAAATAAAAAAATATAGATAATATAAGTCACAGTGTAAAAAATGTATTCGATAAGAATGGTATCAAACCCATATGAGCCGTACAGCGCATGTCCGACAATCTTAGCCAACTAGCTCACGAAGTATTTGATCCAGAAATGAGATATCAACGACATAACACGCGTGGAAGATCTTCCAGAAAAAAATTTGTGAAGTAATTGTGACCAAAATCAAGGCGAATTCATAAACCACGAGTACAGGAGTATAGCATTTTATAAAATTCGGACAATCTTTACTACGCAAAATGATGGGGGGAGGTCATCAAATTGTTGGTTCGGATAATAATTAAACAACAATGGGTCCAATAGTTTCGGAGATTATCTGTCTAATAAAAAGACAAGCAACAGACAAACGACAGACAGACCGAAACGGTAGATCAAGTATAAAAATAGCCATTACGCTTACGCTCGGGAAGCAGAAAAACAAAAAACCTTTGCATTTATTTACAATTATTATTTACTTAATTATTAAAAAAAAAAATAAGATTACGTTACAATAGCTAGGGACAGTTAAATTTTAGTTTCTTTGAGTGAAGGTGATCCTTTCTTAATCCTACTTTTCAATAATAATAATCTTCTGAAACCTGGTAAACATTCAAACGGTGCTTTGGTGCCAGCTGGAAAAAATGTCTCCCCCTTTCACTCCGTGTGCTTATCTTTAAATCTGTCGTGTTGGCTACGCTACAAATAAAAAATAACGGCAACAGTGACTAAAGTAACTTCTTCTTAAAATTTCTTGTAACGAAGTTTGCCTTAAATTGGAGATATTAACAATGTATGAATTTACAACGCGACCACCAAATATTAGTTGATCTGGAGAAAAGCGATTTCGTAAACATAACGTAGCCACACTTACCTATTTCTGATAATGTAAACTGTTTCCAAATGTACTATTTAAATAGGGTAGAGTTTTGTGTCCCTAATGCTTCCTGTTTGTGAATTACATAAAGCTTGTAATTGTTTCTGCGGTTTGTACTAAAACCCTACCTTAAATAATTGACTTGTGATGGTTGTGTCGCAATAAAGCACACACTGAGATCCGTTTGTGTTTTGTTTCAGACCAGCAGCTGTCCCACCATGCACAAGGAGATGTATTACAAAGGTAAATGATACACGAGGGCACAACGTATGCAGACTGTTAATGGACCTGTGTTGTTACAGTTAATAAATGGACTACTGACTATGACAGAGACCAGCACTCGTTGTCTAGGACGCATTCGCTACAATGAGATGCAGCAGTAAAATGAAGCTTTGTATATACCTAATCGAGAAATTAAGGACGCATTTTGTGATAACGTACGCAATAATGACCAAGTGAAGTGTTGTATAAACCCGTGTTATCTGGAGATTTCGCACAGGGTGCGTGTACGAGCTCTTCAGACGGAATGTCTAATGTGTTAAGTGTGTAGGGCGCGAGCATTAGGCATTATGTGTGACGATTATACAATAACTAAACCATGTCCAGGTAATGAATAAGGCAAACGAGATATTTTATTATTTAACGAGAAAATTAATTACGCTAATAAGAGTTAAATTGTCTGCAGAAGCAAATACTTATATTCATTTCAATCTTGTCTGTATGTCAGCTTGGACGAAATGAAACTCGAAGTCTGAGAATAATCGGGCATCAGCTGGCACTTAATTAAAGTAATGCCCACCTCGGAGCCCTTGATTCACTGAGACTGTGACAAACTGGCAAACTTCGAGATAATCCTGCCAGAATTTCTTTTCGAATTAAAATAGTGATCCACCTAAATCTTCAAATTTAATTCAGCTTCTCTTTAAAAAATAAAATAAATTTCATTAAACTACAATTACGAATTTCAGCTTGTTTGCGGATAATTCCTCAAAATGATTAAAAGCAAATCTGTGTTTAAATACACATGTGAAACATTAGACTAAATCAGAAACAACTATACAACTGGAATTATGCCGTTATGCGGGGTAACTTGTACTAAACCTATTATAAACATGGCGACCCTTACTAACTTAAAGACAAATACACGCGGAAACAAAACAACCAAAACAACTCCAGCCAACGTTTAATGTTAAAAGTACATACATTATTCATAAATAATTTCATGTAGGAGCACAGTCTCGATACATTTAATATTTTAATAATGACTTTTTATCGAACGAATGATCATCTAAATAATTGGACATGTTTAATTAAACGACTTTATCCTTATGCTACGAACTGTTCCAATTTCACGTCTCAGACTTCGAACGCGTTAAAATTTAGCAATGACTTTGTATGCTTCGTAAGTAGCACTTTAATGTATATTGCCAAATTGTAAAATATAGATTAATACAAAATAAACATTTATTAACAAACTGCCTCACCTTTCGTTGCCCTTTATTTTCATTCACATTCGTTTGCGGTAGAACGCAAGTTATAATTGCTTCCACCCCCCCATCCATTGTTTTGACGCAACCAGTTTTATACGCCTGTTTCGCCGACTACCTAAAACGGTCATTTATTATGTTATCAGCTGTACAAATATGCTGCAAAAATAACTTGCTTCTCACACGATCGACCCTCTCTGTACAAGACATCACTCCAACGATACAATAAAAAATCTATCAAAAAAATGACCATTTGTTACCTCTTACATCGTCTTGCATATTATCTCATACTATGACGCGAATTTCTTTGTTCTAATGATTAAAGACAAGATCATTTTCTTTTAATAAATGTGCTTGTTTTTGTTTGCACGGCTTAAATTGAACGACCTGATAAGAGCTTTACAAAAGATACGACAAATGCTGCATACAAAGCACGATTGTTTGACACCCCAACATAGTAATTCTCTGAGAAAAAAATTCAAATATTGCCATTCATATCTTTATAGCTGGCCCTTATTTTTATTAAGTATTTTAAAAATATGTAAGTGAGGCAAAAAGCGGTGATTCGTATCTCTATTCCGCTTCCCCATTAATTACGCAAAAATTGAGTAAGCATTTTATTAAAACACAGAAAAAGGTACTTTGTTTTGGCTTTTAAAACCTCCACGACTCTATGGATAAAACATGATGCTTTTGGTGATTAAGCCGCGTATATAAGTAACAAAAAAAGAAAATTAAAAACCCAAGAAAGGAAACGAACTCAAGCACAAGCAAAAAATAACTCCGTAAGACTAACAAATGTCTCACTAACTCACCAAGTTATACTAATTTATTTTTGAGTTTAAAGAAGCAACAAGCCACTTTATTCATCTAACAGTGATGTACTTAAGTATTAGCTAAGGTAGGTTTTAACACTTAAATAAAAGCTGATTTATTTGAAACAACTTAATCGCTCACCAGTTAACCTTACCTCAAAACCACGCACTTTAATTAAAGACGTGATGATCTACCTGTTTGTCTCAATTTTTCTGCCAAATTCACTGGGACCTGTGTTTTTTAAATTATTTAGATTAATCTAGCTGTTCTAAAATCATCATTATGGTGAGAGGTTTTCTTTGTTCAGATTCATTAATAGACAACTCCAGTTATCACTGCTACTTTAAACCTCACTGTGGTAGAAATAAAACTAAAACATTCTCTTTAATTAAACTAAATTGAAACAAAATGGTGTTACCCTACAACAAAATAATTCCTAAGATAAATAATAGAGACTGCTTAATTGAAAAGTGCCATTTATCATCTCGTCACAACCACTTTAATTCCACTGTAACGAATAATACACAAGTGTATTATTATTATTTGCTATGATGATATGGAAAAAATAAGCTAAAAAAAGTACTGAAAGAAGCGGCTAAAGAAAAAATACAGTGGAGAATGCACAATGATGATTGGTGTTTACTGGTAATATTAAAGCATAAAAATACTTAAGGGTGTTCAAATAAGTGAAAGATATTGTCCACTTTACACTCACATTGTGTAAATTTTATCTGATAGACTCTAATGTCATAAAATTGTACATAAATTCAAGCAAAATTTAAATGTACAGGTGCAAATGCATTTTTCAGATTTACTTTCAATTCTAGCTCACCATTTCTTTAAACTACGCTACACTTTTGCACCGTTTATTATTCCCCTGGTAAAATTCTTAATTAAATTCCAAAAGTTAAAAAAGTGGAATCTCATATGAGTGTTGCATGTGGTTCAAACAAAGGAAACAATATTACAACAAAATTATCTTCTTTAATTTATCATAATATTTCGTCTTCTTACAATCTGTGATATAATCTAGGTAATCTCATTTTCATTTACTTGCTACCGCAACAAAACTAAAATATCTTTGTGAATTAAATTCACCCAAGAAAAACACACAAATTTCTCCCGTCTGCTCTTAAGTTAATTGAGAACGCCGTGTAACTTAACTTTTCATTTCAATTTCATGAAAAACTTAACGGTGTTAAAAAACCGAAGTAAATGCAACACAAAGATGCAATCTTGTAACGATATTACTGAGTTGTGTATCTATGTACATCTTGACCAATCCTGACTGTAATTTCAGCGGTTTAAATGAAATTCATAAATTTATGTTATGAATGCCGCATCGATCCTGCTAGAGTGATGAAGGTTCATCCAAAGCGCAACAAGTTTTTCATCAAAGGTAAGTCTTCGTTCTTCTGCAACTTTCAATTTTATGGCATTTTCTATTTTCTAAAAACAAAAGAGGTCAATTTAATTATGGTGTAAAAATGATAAAATAAGCACAAAGACTTATCAGTAATACTCAGGACCGGCGGAAATATTATAAAGCTTCTAATTGTTATATACAAGTGTCCCAATGATCTGGCGAACTAAGACTACACCCTTGACGCATTTTTACAGAACTCATTTAGAATTTGTTAGTTACAAGCAATAAAATACAAACTGGTCTTTTGTTATCAGACCGAACTTCCCTCGCAGTGTAAAAAAGGAAAAAGTGGTCCGTGAAGAGATCGAACCAGCACTCTTCGCGTCAGGAGCCCACACTCTAATCAAAACTTGCGAAAATCTGCCTGCTTAGTGCGGATTCATAAACTACAAGTACAAGGGTATCTATGTTACTTTATGAATTTTAAAATGCATTAACGAGCACCATTTTAAGGTAACATCATCGAATTGTTCGTGGGGATGATCAGACAAGTTTTGATTAACGTTTTAGCATCGACATAATTAATATTCCTAACATAGATATAAAATTTGAAAACAGTCGGCCCAATAGTTTCGGGGATTAACTCTCTAAAAATTGGCACAGACGAGAAACAAACGACAGAGAAACGGAAATGGAAAACCTATTGTTTCATATTCGAGGGGCTATGAACGTCGAGAAAACAAAAGTAACTATTCGCCGGATGGCCCGTATTACAATACTTCCTTAGCTTACGATCGAGAATTGAATACATTTTTGAAGATACCGTTCAGATACGTCATCGAAATTCATTAGCATCAACGATAATGTTCCTTTGATCTCCTTTACTTTTGAAATGCAGGGTATAAATTAAATAATTTAGCGGTTTTGTTTAATCAAAATACAAAATACGAAGTGAACAGTGGTTATGATCATTTTTAGAACTGTATACTGCTAAGAGGAAAAAGCATAGTTCTCTTCTTTCAAAATCGAGGTCAAAATTTTTAGGACCTATTTTCACTTCTTGCCTCAAGGCGAATTCCTAAACGGCAAGTGTAGGATTATAATATGTCTAATAAAAATCGACACAGACGCACAAAAAAGCAAGACCTATTGTTTCATACTTTAGGGGTCACGAAACGTCGATAAATTATGAAAGTGGCCATTCTCCGAATAGACCCTACTACAATACCTAACTTACGCTCGGTAAATAAAAAAGAAGAAAAACAATATCAGTCCAAAGATTTACGTTGACGTTTTAACTTTTAAATGGTGGAACTGTGGATTTCTCCCTATGACCGTTTAATCCATAAAAATATATACATTATAAGAATGTTAAAAACAAAAAACTGGTAGAGGGAAAATCCAACCGAACGTTAATGAATTAACGCATATTCTATATCAGAACATCAATTCAGTTCTTGATATACTTATTAGCCCCAATATAATCTTCTTCCCTATCAAACAATTACAATAGATGGTACGATGATGAACTTACTAATGAACGCGACAGAAAATAAACAAATTAGAAATAGAATAACAACTAGAATTAGAGGTAAAAGGAAAAAATACTACATGGACAAACTTGAAGATACAAAATATGATTCTAAATTAATGTTGAAGACTCTAAAAGAAACAATTGATAATAAACAAGAAAAATTATGTATCAAAATGAAAGTAAAGGATCATATTTCGACTAATCCTTCTGAAATAGCTGATGAATATAACAAATTTTCGATTTAAAGTATTGAGAAAATAATAAAAAGAACCCAAGATAATTATAACGACCTGAGAAATACTTCGATAAATCACTTTCAATTTAGTAATATTGATGTATCAACTGTAATTTTAGTTATAGAACAAACTAAAGATTCCTATTGCGATATTCTAAATAAAACAGTGGCTAGTATAGGAGGGACGTTTCTTATAGAGAAGATTCTCCAAATTTATCAACTATCGATTAAGTATTGTACCTTTCCTAACAGGTGTGGAAGGTCTGCCGCCGATCTCAAAAATTAACGCTGCTGTTGATTATATCCATCTGACTGCCGGCCAATATGCACAGTTCTTTTCCTTGAGAGAGTATTCGAAAAAATTATATATCGACAACTAATGGATTACATTAACAAGATCGAATTTTTTATCTCAAACCCATCTGGTTTTCGCGAAAAACATAGTTGTGAAAGTGCTTTACAATTAGTTATAACCAAATTGAAGAAGAAGGATTGACCTAAGAAAAAACTTAGTGGTAGCAGTATTGTTAGACTTGAAGAGATCTTTTGAAACTATTGGTAAAAGCATTCTTTTAAATAAATTATGTGGTATGGGAGTAAAAGATGTTTAATGGAAATGGTTTTCATCATATCTAACAGATCGTGCACAAAAGTGTAAAGTGAGTGTGGTACATACTTTCGGAGGAAGTAGAATCGAAGTTTGGTGTACCACAGGGTACTACTCTGGACCCGTTACTTTTTTTAGTATATATTAACCATCTAATTTCATGTCTGAACCCTGATATTACACTAAACCTATTCGCAGACGACACACTTATAGCAGTCCAAGATGTTAACATCGAAAGAGCAATACCAAAAATCAGTAGGACGTTGTTGACTGTTAACGACTGGTTAAATAAAAATAAGTCAGTTATAAACACGTAGAAGATAGTAATCTTTCTGTTGTCCTAAATGATGTAATAACAGATTTTGTAAAAGATATGAAAAATTTAGGGATCATATTAGATTGTAAGCTTGATTTTAAACTTAATGCGCTA